TTTGCTATCGAGGAAATCGCGCGCGCTACATCGGCACGAATGTTTACGGACGAATCCGTGGGGTGCCCTCGCCGATATTTGAGAAACGTGAATTTTTCAGTAATCTTGGCGCCCCCCCCGTAATAGGCACATTGTGTGCCGATCGTGCATATATGATTTTGCAGAATTTAAACGCATTGAAAAGTATTTCTTATCCACAATAGTAACAATAATACGTCTAATACGTCAGAAGCGTTAATATCGCATATTGCACTTAGGAGTGACAGAACACATGTCGTTTTAATTAAAAGATGACACTCTCAGATTAGATCGCATCTAAATTCGATCTACGGGGAGGTAACAGGCTCCGGGATAACGCGGGGCGATGTAGATGTAATAACATTTTGTGTTACCATATTAACTTAGCGATTACGCGGTTAATGTAACTGAAAATGCAAATGCAGGAAATTAATCGCACACTTTGTGCCGACATTCATTATAACAGAATGTAGGAGTGGAGTACACACAGGAGCGCCCACCCGCATGCATGTGTACGCGGCGAAGCAGGTGTGTGTCCCCGGAGGACGGGGATGCGCGACCTAAGCGCTGTTTCCCGGCATCGCTGTTACATATTGATGTATGAGTGTGTGCTTAGATTGAGAGTGATTAGGTTTAGGGAGAGAGCTCGTCTCGTACCTCAATATCTCGTGCCTCAGCCGCGAATTAGACGCGTTATATCGAATAAAATACTGAGCGTAATTGGACGGATCTCATTTGTGGCGGTGAGACATTCTTACCGGAATTATGCACATGGTGTGATTTGATTTCGCTCTATAAAGTGCCTAGTTTGTGGACGCGCGCGACACACAAGTACGTAATGTTTTATTCTCGTAAATAAAGTTCACGCGTTATAACGGAATAAACGGAGTGAAACGCATTACGACACAGCCATTGTCCATGGACTTGAAATAAGTTTGATCGTCCATTATGCATGCTTTTACTTTCCTATGTCTTATTTTCCACTTTCTGCCTGCGGTAACTTCTTAATAATCATCCATCTTCCGCTTTCAACGCTACGTCACTTCACCCAGTTTTAGTTTTCTTTCCTCTTTTTCTCGGACTTTATAGACGAATATAACAGAATGTGCCTCACGTCAAATATATTTTAATACGTTAATTCTTTGATTAATTTTAAGTTAATTCTCTCTTATCAAAAATTTAATAGAATATCACGAATATTTAAAGCTTTTATTTTAAATATTTCAATGACCAAACGTTGAATTAAAGCCTTGTTAAAATTTATTTAAAATTATTGGAAGAATAAAATTTTATTCTTTATTAGCAGTTCAAAAACTCAATTTTTAAAGAAACCTCTTATTTTTATCGTTTATAATGTTTCCAATTTTTGATATCTATTAATATTTTGACATTTTTCTGAAGAAAAATTCATCTAAATTTTATCACAAATTCCACAGAAAAAAATGTAATTAATGCATGCACACTGCATATGTAGAAAATCAACGACGACGATTCATTTTCTGATTTATCAATAATCCGTAAGACGTGTTTAACAAATGAGTTTTACACACTTAAACTGCATTTTTTGCTTCGATTATTTTGCAAATCAATCTTTTAGAATTAACCTTTGCAAAATGCGTCGCATATATATGCGAAATCCTTTCAGCAGGAATTATCCCCAAAATTAAGCGTATCACTACAATTTGATGTGTACTTACAGTATTGACGGTACCCGGATACGACGTCAGAGTAAACAGACAGCCCGTCATGGAAGGATGCAACGCGGTGTTGTCCTGTACAGCCCGGGAAGATGTTAAGGAACACCTCACTGTAACCTCCTGGTTCCGTGACGACGCTATTCTGCTACCTGGAAATACAGACACCGGTGAGTTATTGCGCGAGCATTGAGACAACGTCTGTCATTTTAATTTAATGTAACGCATATGGACGTTAAATTGCCTTGAGAGCAATTCTCGTTTAAACATGAACCACACAGCCGAGTGTCATGCGTGTCTCGTATCGTTAATTTTCGATCTCGCAGCGGTATCGCTGCAGGAAAAACAAACTCGCCCTAATTCCGTCCATCGATTTTTTTGTCGATATCCATTGTGACGCGAACGAGTACACCGTTTACGCGTTAAAGTTGAGTTACGAGCATAAATCTGTCAATGCACTCGCGGTTAAAGCGACCGAAGAGAAGAATTCGACAAGACGAAAGCGGATCCGGAGCGCAAAAATTCACGGCTTTCCATAATCTTTTACGCATAGCAATTTTTAATCGCGAGGCCACGTTGCTTAAAGGGTCGTTACATTATTTACGAGTCGCGGATGAATTTCTTAAAAGAAGAGCTCGTTCTAAAAAGGATTAACGCAATTACGACCGCCGGCAAAGCGAGCAGCATATAGAGTAAGTATAAAATGCTTGATCTCTCGAACGAAACATCCGGCAAGCGCGCGTGAGCGCACAGATTCGCACGCAAATATATATATATATATATATATATATATATATTTTACATATATACATGCATCCGAGCCACACACGTACGTGCGCTAAACTCGGCGGTTAGATCGTCCTGTACACGCTCAGGCATTCATGTCCCATACATATTTATGTCGCTCGGTTGCACGTAACTGGTGCCGGTGTGCGCGTAACTATGTGTATGCGTGCGCCGCTGGAATATCATGGGAAGCATCGCGTCATGTCGGGGCTTGATACGTTTGTTTCGTAACTAGGCGGCTAACATTGTGCCGCCGTATATACGAAAGCGGCACCTGCAACACGTCGGGTTCTAGCTGCTGCGACGACGTGTCTCCCGATGCCGTACGTCGGCGTGTGTGCCACCCCCGCGGTTATCGCCGGCACGCGCGCGGACGCGCGCCGCGGCGAGAAATATCGCATCCAAGGTGACGACGTCGATTCCGCCGTCCGTCATCGTGCCAATACCGGCGAAGATAAGGAGGAACGAAGCGTGATACAGAAGTCGCGCCCGTAACGAAACCCGATGCGATACAGCAGTTCCGCGTGAAAGACGATTTCTCGCCCCGTTTGCCGAAAATATCCGGTTTTCTTCCTTTTTTTTTCTTAATCGGAGACGGTTATAGATTGCTGACTAATGGCAATCGATATGAAACGGAAATGAAGAATTAACATTTGTAATAGAGTTTGCATTTAATTGAATAATAGATGATTTGTTTAATATAATTAATTATATATATATATATATAATTAATGCAGCATGCTTCTAATTGTTTTCACAATTCGATCCACTCACAACGCAATCTTCGATATCACTTTTCACTTTTTGCTCTCTCAACGGTTACTCTTTTTCTTCGCCAGTTCCACGAATAATGCCTGTCGTTCCCCGAAAACGGCACTTAATCGCACTTAGCGTTATACTTTGTTCCATTTAATTTGTTTCTGGTCAAATGTCTCTGCCTGCTCTAATGATCACATATCGCATTAGATTAACCTAGCACGTACACATTTAAAATGATCACATCGATTCGCATTACGTATTTTTAGAATCAAATTTGAATGTTCAAAAAGTGACGCAAAAAAATTATTTCCCGTCGTTGTCAGAAATATCTGCTTTATTTCTTTCTCCTTACGCGTGAAAAAACGATAGATTTCCGATTAATATTTAACAGACAGTGCGGAATTAAGAATCTGAAACAACTCTGGATTGGATCGTGTGGATTCAAATTATGATATTTTAGAATAAAGCTTAGCGAGAAACGTTAATTCGAGACGAGTGAATATGAAAACGCAATTTTCCACAAAAGGAAAGTTAAGAGATACGGCACATGCATGTCTACGCAATAACTATTATGTCGCGACGTCGCGGATATCGTACCCTGATTCGAAGACATGAGATTCCGGTTGTACGTTGCGGGAAGAACATGACGTTTCTATCATTGACGCATTATAACGATATCGAACCAGCGACAATGGTTCTTGTTAGACGTCGTAGGGTGGAGAAGCACCCGGAATCGTATCCGTGATGAATACATCTTCATGCTTACAATCAGTTCCAGAGAGATATTGTCATTAGAATCGTATTATTCGAATCACGTCTAAGATAGAATATTCGACGTCGTTTCTAATACAATTTTTGCAGTTTCAGAGACAATCAAATTTAATATTCCACATTTCACCATGTAATTTTACCATTGTTTTTCCAATCAATGAATTCGGAAAATAAAATTAGCCCCCCGGGTATTTTCCCATAAAATAATCAACCACAAAAAAGTAATTATTTCAAAAAAATAATAAAAATATTGCACACAAAATAAAATCATACGCATCCCAAATTATTTCGCAGTGTTTTGTTTTTTGGGAACAATGTATCGGGAAATAGTAGTGTAGCAAAATGTATCCTCGAAAGAGAGAGAGAAGAGAGATATCCCTTCGATATTAATTATTCTCGATGGAAAATTCGCGGCGCGCGAAAATTCGTAATGTTCCGCGGGCGTGATGGCAAAAAAAGAATCTGGCAGGTCAATCCGAAATAGTGAGACGGCTTTAGCGAGTCGGTAAACCGGGCTGCTCGATGGCTGTCCGTTGGTTGAGCCAAATTGAAAATTTCACGCCCGACGGTACGCCCGTCCATGATCCGAAGGGGTTTCATCGACAGATGTTGAGGATTTTGCATAACCCTTTGCTCCCGACTTGAAATACGAGAGAAAATATTGCTGGTACCGCGCGCACGTTCACGGATTTATTATTGATATTTCCCAGCTTCTGAATTCTGAGAAGTCGAATGGTATTCCCGCTCACAAGTCTGCCGCTATAGAAGGAAGTGGTACAAATCACGAAGTCGGGTGAAGTATTTCCTCACCGCAATAGTGATGAGCGGGGGGGAAACTTTGTTCAGGTGAAACACGTTCGAAATTGTACGTTGAAATTTTTGTAATTCCTAATCTGCATACAAAGTGTATCGCTTTAAAAGCCGCACATTTTATCCGAGCCATGAACACCGAGAGTTTATTAAAAAAAAAAGAGAGGCGGTTATTTCGGAAATCGGAGCGTCGATAACGCTTGAATTATAAATGATTGAAAAATTAACGAATTTTGGCAAGGTTACTCTCTATAAGATTCCACTTTTCATTTAATTTTGTAGAATTTAGAAGAATAGTTATTTACTTCAATATACTTGCTGAAAAAAAAGCTGCGAAATTTTGCAATAAGGTTTGGACACGAGAAAACTTGACTCATAAAAATTTTATTAACTTTGCTAAATCGACAGAGCGGAGAGAAAAACGTGCGATACTTGAGGTAGTATATTAAATCGACCTGTGTATATGTCTATGTATATATGTGTGTGTGTGTGTGTGTGTGACCCGACTTTGTTCACAGGCGGAAGATTCGTGGTAACCTCACAGGGCGATCTTCATATCAGGGCCGCCAGACCAGAAGACGGCAGAGCGACGTATTCGTGCTTAACCCTGCATGCTCTGACCAGCGAACGGAGGAGAAGCGAACCCGCCACTTTAACAGTCACGGGTAACCGCTAGAACCGGCTAGATCTTTCGCGGGTATAATGTAAAATCGAGTTCCGTTTAAAATTCAATCCATCTGGATTTTCACTCTGTAACAGTCAGAAGGATTATTCTCTTTGCCGCTCATTCATCTCCTTTAGACTTATCTCTCCGTTTTATTTGTAGAGCCAACCGGTGGTTCGCCGCCACGATTGATGCAACGATCCGAAATCGCTATTTCCGCCGAAAGCGGCTCCGACGTTCACCTCACGTGCTCGGCGCAAGGAAGCCCGCCGCCGCAATTTACCTGGTATCGCGATGTTAATGGTTGGTTTAATTAGGGGAATGTTTACCGAATAAGCTATGTTAACGGTACCGCCGAACAAACTACTAGCTGTGTTCAAACATCGATTCCTCGATAGCGCGGGATACCGTATTACGTTTAAACATCACCCTAATACAATGAATATATTATGCCGCAAGGAAAAAGAAACCCGATAGGTGCAGCTCTTGAATATTGAACAGGAATCTTGCCGAACGTTAGTTGTCGAGGAATCGACTCGTTCTATCAGAAAACCTATACACAATCTTAGGATCTCGTTTTTCTTTTTATGCAAAGCGTGCGTATCGATTTCAAAGTAAATCTAATCTAGCGCTAAACACATTATCGAAGTAACTTCGCAGACATGACTGGCACAAGACAGATACATCCGGATGTCTTGTCGCAGGCCACTCGATCCCGGTCGAGTCGTTCGGCCGTATCCAGCTTTGGGGTGATTTAATGCAAATTCGTCGCGTAGACGCGCAGGACGCTGGAAGATACGTTTGCCGAGCTAGCAATCAACTCGGCGAGCAGAGAGCGGAGACGCACTTGTCGGTCACTTCAAAGCTAAACGCTCGGATTCAGCCGCGTGTGCAGGTATGAACAACACAATCTGATTTATACAAGCGAATCGTCGCTCTTTCTCGAATACACGGAATTTTATATTGTCAGAATAAAATTGTGTAAACTAATGCAACGTATCCAGGACGAGAGGATTTCGTTCGAAATTTAAAAATTAATTAAAAAGTTATCCATGTTTTAGAAAATATTATCGAGCTTCTGTCGGAGGACGGATTATATTATCGTTTAGCGAAAATCACTCATCCGATTACTTTGGAAAAGCAATTAATACAAACCAAGTTAAATCCGTTTACAAAATCATACTACTCTAATTTCTGCGACTGTAATGGAAAATTGGTTTAAGCTAAATAATGATTATGTAAGCTTTGTTATTAATTATGAATAATATCAACGATATGAAATTAGCATTTAATGAAACAATTGTTGAATAATGAGCGTGCCGACCTAAATTTATTAGGTCGGCATCATGAATAAAAAAATAGCACGCCAAATTAAATGTAACTCGAAGGCAGGCGGGAAGACTTCGAAGATACTGTTGATTTAAAAGTCGCGTAGTCAAATTGCGAATCGTGTTTCGGCTGCGGGATACAAACAGATTCGCCTGTCGTCATTCGCAGGTCATTAATTCCGGTGATACCGCCACGATGAACTGCACGGTCGAGGGATATCCGGTCGAGAGCGTTGAGTGGCTGCACGACGGTGTACCAGTATTGACCGCGCAGGACACGAGGATCAAATTGTTGGCTCCCCTGGTGCTCGTGATAGGCTCCGTCGGTCGCAGGGACAAAGGGATGTATCAGTGTTTGGTGAGGAGCGACAAGGAAAACGCTCAGGCCACCGCTGAACTGAAGCTCGGAGGTCAGCGAACGCATCGTTCGTTTTTAGCATCCGTTACATCCCCATCTATTTCCGCGCCGGTTTTTTATTTAAATTTGTTTGTATAAGTTTATAAATTCGTTTATATAAGTATATAAATTTATATACATATATATGTGTGTAGAAGAATAGATGTATTTATATGTAAAAAAAGATACAAAAATTGATATCCGCCGGAAGAACGCAACATGTGCGGAAAACACACACACTAATTAATTTGTATATCTCTTTGCGCGGAAAATATATACATAAATTTATTTGCATCTATTTTCCGCGCGCAACATGCATTCCACCGTCGGATATCAACTTCGTCGTCGCTTTTTTTTCTTTTCTTATGTAAATATATCGCCACTCTTTTTCCCGAATTTTCGAAAAAGATTGGCTATTTCGTTCCGCTCCGTTTTCCCTTACAACATTTTCGAAAACGAATTTTCAGATACGGTCCCGGAACTGCAGTACACGTTTATCGAGCAAGCGCTACGACCGGGTCCGCCGGTTTCCCTACGATGTTCCGCTACCGGCTCGCCAACACCATCCTTCACGTGGTTACTGGACGGTGAACCGCTCAGCCAGATTGCGACCGGGCACAGGTAGATCGTATCTATATTCCGATATCGCCGTTATGCCGCGCGGTATTCTAATCAAATTCTGTACACGCAGATACGCGATAGGCCAATACGTGGATCAATCCGGTGACGTGATCAGTCACTTAAACATTTCATCGGCGGGCACCGAGGACGGCGGCCTGTACGCTTGCGTGGCGTCTAATACCTTGGCGACTGTCGGGCACAAAGCTAGATTGAATATTTACGGTATGATATACGTAGTGGTTGTCTTTAAAATCTCCGACGTGATCGCGTGTATCGCAAAAAGCGATACCGTTTATAAATATGAGAACAGATAAGAATATTTTATAAATATGAGATTAAATTTCGCCAATCGAAGTTCGTAAAATCACACTTTCGTTATATCCAACACGACTAAACATAGATTTATGAATTTCTCGCACTCATAAGCTGTCGAGAATAACCCAGTCGGATGGCTTAATTGAGACGAGGAAGAGAGTGGATTAATTAACAGAAGTGAACTCGTTCTATAATAAAGAAACCATTTTTAGGTCCGCCGTACATACGATCGATCGGGCCGGCTCGCGCCATCGCCGGTGTCGACATCACAATAGCGTGTCCTTACTCAGGATATCCGATCACATCGGTCGAGTGGAGCCGAGGTGGCGCTGAGTTGCCTTTTGACATCAGGCACCGGGTCGACAGCGAGGGGCACCTTACGATCCTCACGGTGGACCCGAATGACGCCGGCACTTACACGTGTATAGTCCGAGCGAGTTCTGGGGAGACCGCCAATAGAGATATACTGCTAACCGTCAACAGTAAGTGAGAACAAAGGGAACAGTGGAGTCGAAACCACTCGGATAAAATCAGAGGTTAATTAAATAATCGTTAACAAGCTCTCGTGCACGCTCTCGAAGGCGTTAATATCGCGCGTCACGCAAGACGATACATCTTCGCCAGAAAATATCATCGTGACGCTCTCACGAGTCTCGCTGTGAAAGAATCAATGCGGGAAAAATTATGTGGAATTATATGGAGAAGATGACATACTGTGGCAATATGCATAATGTATAACTAGCTCACGCTCGCGCGTATTTTGCACAGGTCCTCCGGTAATGAGTCCCTTCGGCTTCCCCGCAAATTCGCAAGAAGGCAGTCGTGCTCAAGTGACGTGCAGCGTGACGTCGGGCGATCTTCCGATCTACATTTCCTGGTTGAAGGACGGCGAACCACTGCCCTCCTCCCTTCGCGTAAGCATTATTTCAGCCCGCGCGGGGTTTATCTTTGTGCGGCGGGCGTTCGATAATTTCTCGTATTCCGCGTCACCGACGGGAGAGCGGAAAAAAAGTAAAGCAAGCTGAAATTTTCATTCGGAATTATGCACATATTTCATCTACAAAAACTAATTTTGTAATCCTTTTGTGTTTTTCCGCGACGTTTCTCCCCTTGAAAATGGAAAATACATATTCCGCAGTGATAAAAGTCTTGCGAGAGATATTCATCTTCTGCGAATAAATGCTCTTCAAACACGTGGAAACTCAATGAGATCAAATTTTAACTCCCGCATGTAAGAAAACTCGGGTTTTACGTCCTTCGTTTCTCATTCTCTTTCCACGCGGAAATTGTGCATTTTTCACGCGCAGCTTATTAGAGTAATGAAGACAGCGCTGTATTCTTATTCGCGAACGGGTTTTTGCGCGCAGATCGAAGAGCGTGGTGCCGAGTTCTTCAGCCTGCTCGTCTTCAAGGAGCTGTCGTCGCGGCACAGCGGCAAGTACACCTGCGTAGCCACGAATAGCGCGGCCAAGGTTAATCACACGGCGGAGCTCCTGGTGAAAGTGCCGCCGCAGTGGATATTCGAGCCGCAGGACGTAGCGACCCTTCTGGGCAACCCGTTGAACGTCCATTGCGAGGCGAAAGGCTTTCCGCCGCCGCGTATCACGTGGCTGCGTGCCAGAGGCAGAACGTCCAACGACTATCAGCCGCTGCTGGATGGTTCCGATGGCAGACTCACGATACTACCTAATGGGTCTTTGTGGACGGCTTCCGCCGGCCCACAGGATGAGGGTTACTATCTCTGTCGGGCTAACAATGGCATCGGATCGGGACTCAGCAAAGTGATATATGTGTCGGTGCATGGTAAGAATGCGCGACTGACGTTACGAATCGTAGATCAATAATCGCGATCTAACGTGGCGAAATCTGACGATTCGAGCGGTGCGAAAAACTCCAATGCGCATTCAAAAATGCCAATAGAGTCTGTACTTTCTGCGAATTCATATTTATAACATTGGCAAATATGAGAAAATAGTGACGATGAAATTTACAACTTTTTGAAAATCAAACAAATCAGAAGAAAACTGATAAGAGCTAAACTAGATAAGCTAAAAAGCGATTTCCGCTAATCGAGTTACATTTCTCTTTCACTCTCACTATAGTTTGTCTCTATTATAATCTTTATCTTGTAATAAAATCATCCTGTTTTTGGACTCGTAGAACTAATTAGAAACTACATGAAACAAAATTTGTCTATTTCCACAGAGCCAGCGAGATTCGAATTTCAGAGTAAAAACGTAACCATTCGCCGTGGAGAGTCCGTAACCATCGACTGCACCGTAATCGGCGATAATCCTATAGAAGTTCAATGGATGCACAACAGCGATCGATTGGACATGAGCAATCACAGGCTAAGCATCGGTCAAATAAAGACTGACAATGGCCTTAAATCGCAATTGTCGATTGCAAATAGCGACCGGCAGGATTCCGGAGTTTATCGGTGCACCGCCGATAACGCTTACGGAAGAAGCGAACACTTGATTTATTTGGCAGTTCAGGGTGAGCGCATAATTTTTTTACGAACGCTTCAATTTTGCAACGATAACTCGAATTTTTCAATCAATCGCGTCGGGAGCGCGCGAAGAAGAAAAAAAAGGGGTTTGCTTTATATCTTACAGAGAGACCGGATCCTCCGACCGGATTGGAAGTAATAGAGATCGGTTCTCGATCGATACGGTTATTATGGAAGCGGGCCTTCGACGGAAACAGCCCTATAAGAAATTACGTGATACAATACAGCCCGCACGGCATGACCGATGATTGGAATCCTATTAAAACGCACAATGTCACGTACACGCCAGGAAGCTCCAATAGCGGTAACTCTATACATCCAACCCAAAACGGTTCGTCCACATGCTCCCGATCGATACCGCGACTCTATCCGCCACCTCCGCGCCCCACCGCCCCCCATTCGTAACTCTAATATCAATTCTAGGCTTATCTCCGTTCGAGACCACCGGCGACGATCAAGAGGTAGCTCTGGTCGGCGGTCTTCATCCAGCCGTCACCTATACCTTCAGGATATTCGCGATAAACTCCATCGACGCGAGCGCGCCCACGGAAACCGTCGTGGCGAAGACGCAGGAGGAAGGTAAATGCTTCATGTGACAATGCGATCGTATGACCGAAGCCTTACTGCATATCGTATAACACTGCACCCTCTGTAACAGCACCCACTGAACCGCCGCAAAACATCAAGGTGCAATCCGCGGGGCCCGGAGAGCTCATGATCAGTTGGCAGGTGAGCAATTCTGGCGACTCGAACGTCACTAATGAGCGCTTTTAATATTAACTATTATTAATTTTAATAGGTTAATTTATGGGCCACTCGCGCCCTGATATTTTTTCTCTCTTCCTTTCTCCCCAATAATTCCTATATGTAAGTTAATGTTTCTCGATATGAGAACAATATACCTATAATTTCGTACACATTAGGTATCTCGATGTGAGATCGGTGTGCAATCTAACTGTCTCTTGTAGACTAATTTATTAAATAATTCTTTATAAAAATAAATTAAAAATTTAGCACTAACATCCTGCGACGGCTCTCGATGCCATTCTATTATATTTGTTTAATTTATATTTATGTATAATATGTTTAATATATTTTAATATTAACTGGAATATTACGAAAAAGCAATCAAACTAATAGTTCGTAATTTCCTATAAAAATTATTCAAATCTATAAGAATACGTTTTATCAGATGTTCCGTGATTATCGTTGCGATGTGTAAATGATGAAATCAATAATTTTACTCTTCTCTTTATCCCTTTTTGAAGAAGGAAAAATAGAAATAAGTTCTAGCGTTGACATTCTTTGGATAAATTAAACACCGATGTTATAAAATGGAAAGAAAATAGATTGTAAAAATATGGCATCGGCGTACGTCTGTTTTTTTAGCCTCCTCCGAAAGAATCGTGTAACGGCGATCTGCTGGGCTACATAGTGACATGGTCGGAACACTCGTCCTCGACCTCGGGCGTTAATCAGAGCAAAAGTCTAACCGTGAACGGTTGGGCGTCGACAAAAGTGCAGCTTACCGGCCTAAGAAAATTCACGAAGTACGACATTTCGATCAGAGCCTTCAATAGCATAGCCAGTGGACCGGCCAGCGCGCCCATCGTGGGCACTACTCAAGAAGGAGGTACAATAAGGCAGAAAACAGAACGCGCTCGATAACAAAATCTTACAAAAAAAAATTTTCGAAACCTTTGCTTTACAGTACCGGAAACGCCACCGACTCAAGTGACATGCGTTCCGCTGTCCTCCCAAAGTGTCAAAGTATCCTGGAGTGCTCCGCCGCCTCATCAGCACGGTGGAATCATTCAAGGATACAAGGTTTACTACAGACCGGTCCCCACTGATAACAGTGAGTCTGCCGATTGGAACAATGATAGACGAAAGTGTTCGCGAAATATTTATTTGAGAAAATATTCATAATTCGATTTCTTTCCCGTCGCAGTGGACATATCGACTGTCGGCGAAGTGAAAAGGACATCGAGCACGGACACTTATCTGCACACGCTGTATAAATACACGAATTACTCGATCAAAGTGTTGGCTTACACGGGCGCCGGGGATGGCGCGCTGAGCGCGCCGATTTTCTGTATGACGGAAGAGGACGGTGAGATGTTTAATTTTGATGAAAAGTTTGAAGAAAAACAAAACATTCAACGTGAACGATTCTTTTCGCAGTTCCCGGCGCGCCCGCCGGCATCAAAGCGCTGGCATTAACGGCGGAAAGCATATTGGTTTCGTGGCTGCCGCCGTTGCAGCCGAACGGAAACGTCTCGAAGTACACCGTGTACAGCAGAGAAGCCGGTTCCAATAATCACAATGCGCACACGATGCACGAACCGCCGTCGTCGCCCACGGACACTCTTACGATGGAACTGCGGGATCTAGTGGAGAGGTACGCGGGAATATTGCAACGATTCCAGGTCTTTAATTGTTTCTGCAAACCGGTTCCTAATTTTTCAGACAATTGTACGAATTTTGGGTATCGGCGACGACCGGACTGGGCGAAGGCGAACGAACTACTATAGTTACGCAGACAACGAACACCAGAGGTGCTTTAAATGCATGCTTGAAATTTTTAAAGATGACAAATTAACTTTCTGCACGCTTCATATTTTGCCGATATTTCTTCCATTGAATTTTTCCGTACAATTGTAAGAGTATAGAATGCGTTCCGTAGCTCCCGCTAGAGTGGCATCGTTCTCGCAAGTATTAAGAAGAGCTGTAAAATCGTCGGTCACACTGTCGTGTTTAGTGGTGGGAAATCCTACGCCACGACCAATCTGGACGTACAGAAATGGGCAAATTACCACCGGCAGACATTACGAGCTTACGCCCGACGGGCATCTTGTCATACGCGGTAGGAATTTATTTAACTACTTGCGTGAAAATTCAATTAAGTTTGTGCACGGTATAAATCTTCGCTATCGTTCTAATGTCCCTAATGATTTTTTTAGGATTGGAACAGTCGGTCGCGGGAAATTACACTTGCTCGGCTAGTAATTTATTCGGTGACGATTCCATCACGTATTCACTAGTCGTGGTGATGCCACCGAGAGCACCATCGTTGGAGTTGCAATATACAACGACCAACAGTATCCGCTTTCGCTGGAATCATCCCGACAATGGCGGTGCTACAATACAAGGTAACAAAATTGAAGAAGCAATTAACAATCGCGTTTGTCACACGTGTATACTGTAAAGAAAATCTTTTTTCGCCAGGTTACGTTTTAAGCTACAAGAGAGACCAAGGCGGATGGGAAGAAATCGCTATATCTCCCGAGCAGACGGAGTTCGTACTCTCCGGACTAAAGTGTGGTTCTTCCTATCTAGCGCATTTAACGGCGCATAATCGCGTCGACACCGGCGATCCGAGCCCGTTAATCAGCGCGACAACGAAAGGCACCGGTAAGTAAAACGTCTCTCGAGTAATCAAAATGTACTGCAAAATCTAGACAGAATTTATCTCTTCGAATCTATCTAACGTGAATTCGACTCCAAGTTTCGATTAAAATATTTATATTTCAGCGCCTCTGCTGCCTAAGGAAAGGGACATTATCTCGGCGAACGGCACGTCGGTGAATCTGAATTTATTATCGTGGCCTAACGGTGGGTGTCCTATTCAATACTACATGGTCGAGTATCGCAGGCGTCTCGTCACGGAACCGTGGATCCTGGTAGCCAGCAAAGCAACCGAAAACCTCGTGATTCGCGATTTGAAAACGGCATCGTGGTACAGTCTGCGCTTGACGGCGCACAACGACGCCGGCTCGACTCAAGTCCAGATGGAATTCGCCACGACCACGTTAAGCGGAGTCAGCATCGGTCCGCCCAATGATCTGATAATGGAAGACGAAATCAAGCGGACTGTGCCTAATCACAAAGTTCTGTACGTCGTTGTGCCGCTCATCTGCGCAATCATCTTGGTCGTTTCCGCTGTTATTCTCGGATACGTCATGCTCAAACGCAGCGGCAGGTAACCGATCATTTTTTCAAGTTCCTTCTTCAAATTTTCTTGTCACTTGCTTACCGCCGGAATCAGATTCTCATTAAAGTCTTCTTTGACCGATTCGTCTTGCTTGTTTCTTTTTCAATAGAGCGAACTACTTGGGCGAAATATTGCCGGGACAACAGCAGCAACAGCAGACGGGATTAGGAATGATTCAGCAGCAGCAGCATCAACAACAGCACCATCATCTGTCCAGCTGCATGTCGACCGTTCAACTGAAATCCACGGCTGAGCGAGACAACAGGCGTAATCATCAGGTTTACACCAGCTCGCCCGTGAAGCAGGAAAATCACAAGTCTACCGATCACGGATCAGGTATGTATGTCGACATGCGGCGATAAACGAATCGAATTCACGAATGCAGTTCCGCAGATGCTACGTTATCGTTCGCAGAAATGTACGAGATAAGTCCGTATGCGACATTCAGCGTTCCCGGCAGAGAGAATCGCTCGGTGACGACGGCAACGCTCGATTACACGATGCAATTTAAGACGTTCGGTCACCTAGAAAACGAGGACATCAACACCATCGACTACGAGAGATCCACCGTGGAGTTCGAAAGGTAATTGCCTGCTTCCGCTGTTTGCCTAACTTAACCGGCTGCACGGGAAATTGAATTCGTTTTGCTCTTGCGCCTTTGCTTTTCTCCTCTTCTCTTCCTCCTTCTGGTGTTCTTTCACGCGCAGGTCGAAAACACCAAGGTGGCACAAGCAGCGCTACTTCCCGAGCATTGCGGAAGCCGAGAGCAAACTACGATCGAGTCGACAAGGCTCCGGAAGCGACACGTCCGGCAGTCCTTGCGGCGAGTGCGCCGGGCCTAGTTATAGAGTGCCAGTAAAGCCTTGTAGAGGTATAATTGCATATTCCCGTTCTCTTTGTTGTTTAACACGAGGAAAACAATGTAGAAAATAATTTACAAAAGAACGAGCTGCAACATCTAACAGCGCGATTCTTTGCAGATGTATTTTCGCGAGGTGTGGAATCGAGTACGGAATCTAACAACGAAGGCTCGCCCTCGCTCGCGAGACGACGAAGCAGACAGCCGAGCCGGTCTACTCGCAGGTAGCCAAGGTTTGTTTGTTTCCACATAGCACTCAGTCTTGATTATTCGACATCAGCCTCATCGGTTTTCACGTCGACGCGAGAAGGAAGCGCAATAATGCAAATTATAGCAGCTGGAAAATCTTTTACGAGACAAGCATTTACATATTTATCTTGTGACTATTATTAATTACGTATTAAATCGCATCGTTGCGCTTCGTTCTAAAGCCTCATGTTTTTCATAGGAAGAAAAATATTTCGAAATGCTCTAACACGTGTTGATACAAACAAGAAAAAAATCGCACAATCATATTTAAAAAAGTTGCGTAAAATATACAATCTTACAGAATTCTAGACAAACATGAAAGATATTGTGTGTTAAGATGATAAGATCAGCGGTGTAATCATGAAATATTATTTTACGGATAAGAAATGGATTTGAGAAGAACTTTCTTTTTAACTCGACAAATGATCTAATCTGCTCAACAGTTCGGTGGAGGACATGACGCTATTGCCGCCAAGCGGATTCAGCGACAGCCGCGAATTGAGCGACGTGGAGTGCGACCGTGATCGTGATCGCGAACGTGATCGTGAATGGCAGGGTTTGTCGGCCGGAACCCGCCACGGCGGCAGTTTGGGCAGACTACCGATCGAGGCCGTCGAATCTATGCTCGCTAGGTATCGGTTTCTGTAGATGAGTCGTAAGCACTAAGTGATAGAAGCCCGGGCGAACCCCCGAAAGTTCTATTTGATTCAATTGTTTGTACGCAAAATGTCCCGAGCAACACGTATTGTTTCTGCACAGTAGAATCCGAGCGAGAAAGAATTATAATTGTTCAGGCGTCGATAATTTTTAGAGATATTAAAATTATAATTTAACGAAACTTTTATTCGATTCTTAAAATAACCGATGTGATTAATCATCGAATGTAATAATCAAAAGTACGACACTTGGGACATTCTTTCTGTGTAAATTTCAAATATCATTAATTCGTCTGCGTGGAACTACTGCTCGGTTATGACTTTGGATATCAAAATGCCAGTTGATTAAAAGATTAATAAATCTATTGAGATTAATTGAAAATAAATATTTTATGAATAATTAGAATTTATGAAAAATTATATACTTTTGAGAACAGACTTGCATTGTCTGTTGCAGATATCAGCAAAGGAAAGAGCAAGAAAGACAAGAATTCACTATACACGTATGATCGAGATTCGCTGGTTCGAGTTGGTATCTTCGCCGGACGATTTAACGTTATTCAGAGAGAGAGAGAGAGAGAGAGAGAGAGAGAGAGAGAGAGAGAGAGAGAGAGAGAGAGAGAGAGAGAGAGAGAGATGAGAGAGAGAGAGAGATGAGAAATCATCCCTTCTTAAAATCATTCGTCGTCTATGTGCGGAAATTTTATGAAATCTCAATGAAGATGGTAGTTTAATATATGTAAGGGACAATTTAATTGATTGGAGATGAGAAGTGACGGGAGAGACTCTCAGGTCTGCTTGTCGAAGAGGCGTCTCAACTAACTGACCTACGTTGCGCCAAATACTGCCGTTATTATACACATAAAACAATGGCCTTCGTATACAGCCCTGTATGTACCACGTACGACACACCGTCGAGTCCAGAGGAAACACCAAAAATCTTATCGACGATATGCGCAATCAATTGAGAAGCAGGTGGAAACATTTGACGATTAACGATGTACGTTTTTTGATAGCATTTATCTTTCTATCATCGAATTATACTGTTGCATTGTCTTATTGTACGAAACGTGCGTTTTACGACGAAAAAGAAGTCTGATTGACCGATCCATTACTTTCGCGACGACCAACTATCGATATACAGGGTGAAAACGCCAACTTCCACGCGAATATCTCCGCTTCACTAGTGTGCGATCTACTTATTAACAAAGCCATTCTATGTACGAATGTAGATACGATCGATTAGCGGGAACGAGTATTGCATTTTACAAGATTTTAAACACGCTGCAGCGACCGCAGCGTTACATGTTATCCCCGTCGTAAAGAATAAATCGATTAAATAAAGCAAAAAAAAAAAATTACAGATCTTTAATATGCGAAATTATATTTTTTTAATTTGAAAATTGAATATTGGTTTTCAAATTTTTTTTTTTAATTCAGAATATTTAAAAGTGCGATAAGAATGTGGTTCGATAAATTTGATTTAAAAACCGACTTTCCGCGAACGAAACGTTTTTCAAATAGTGCCAACTTTAATGAAATATGTAGCATTAAGAACATCGTGAAAAAAAAAGGAAGGATAAGGAGGGCGTGTGCATGTCCTCCTTTACGTCCTAACTGTTACTTGTGCACTATATTAAATAGTCTGTACGAACCGATCATTCAATCGAGCGACTAGCGCCTTAACTATGTAAATAAATTTAAACTGCTCTTCAAGAAACGGCATTTATCGATGTGATCGTAAAATACGCTAACGATTATGAGATTTCACAGTGCGCAGAGAGTCGTAGTATCTCCGCAGACACCGGATTGCGGACTCGTGTAGAGTAAAGCGATCTAAGAAGCCATAGGCTTCCGCCGTTCGAAAGTTCGGCGCCTCGTTTTCAAGATCCCTTTAATCGCGAGACTGATGTTAACCGAGTACGCTTACGTTGTTTTCTGCCAAAGAAAGTAAACGGTTAGTTGTTTCGACCAAGCGACACTTTTCCGAAACACGCGAAATACACGGAGCCACGCAACGCGCGATATCCTCTTTTTTTCTTTTGTCAATAAAGAGAGGTAAAGACTTGCTTAGAATTATCTCGTGGCTGTTTTTATTGAAGCGTTATTGACATAGTCTCATAGAAATTTTATGGAAAAAAAATTCACAACGTACGTCTCTCACTACTTTATGACGAGTTATCGCGTAGATGCAATATGTATATAAATGAGAAATGATTAAAAGATGATTCTTCGAGATCAGCGCGCGCGACTGCGCGCTTATTTCGAAGAATGATAATATATGCGAGTATATTGCAGTTGGAATCGCGTAATGTCACCCTACAAAAAATAGATGAATAAAAAAGAATTGATCTTAAAATGTCAGTTCTTTGTAATTCATTTATTTTCAGCAGGGTAAGCCTGTTAGAGCGAGGAAATTTTGGAAGAAGAGAGCGTGTGTGTACGTTTCATTTCATTGCACAATCACAATCGTAAAAGCAAGACTGTCCTCTGAACAATTGGGATAAATGCGAAATATCATCATTTTAGGAAGCAAAAACATGCGTGTAAATGTCTTAATCCATCATACAAATAGGATCGTAAAAAATCAAGACTGTCCATTCGAATAATTAAAACAAACGTGGCACGAAAGAAAAGTTATGTACGACGAAAAACTAGTAAAAAAAACATTTTGACGACCTCGACAATTCCTCGAAATTTGTATATGTAAAAAAAAAAGCGATCAGAAAAATATGTATACACCCACTGAGAGAAAAGAAATAAAAAAAATACGATACACGATAGAACTTCAACATTATCGTTGATTTCATAAAAAACCTATAAAATATTGCATATAGATCTCTTTGAATTCTTATTTAACATTAAATTTCATTAATTGTAAATTACATAAATTTATTATAAAGCTCTCATTCAGAAATTGATATATAGATATTAAAAAAAAAAATATTAAGAACAAAATTTTTATTTCAGAATAAAATATCTATTTGCATAAAAAATTTTAAAAGTTTAAACTCTTCAAAAAGTTTATTTGCAATATAATACGCTTGATTTAAAAATGTGTAAATTTATATTTGCAGCATTAATAATCAAATGTGATTATATGCTTTCTTATCTCCTACTTCTGTTTTAACTGCCTATTCTTTATTCTAATCGCAATATTTGCCATTAGTGCACGTATTTTTTAAACAAATTTCCGTAAAAATAGCAATTTTTAATATATTCTTGCTGATGTTTTTTTGTATCATTGTTTTATTATTGTGACAAAAGTTTTATTAAAATTAAAACAATTTTAATACTAAATAATTTTTCTTGAAATTTTCAAAAATAAAATACAATTTTTGCAATTCTAATTCATGATTGTATTATTAAACTGAAAGTTACAAAAAATTAAAAAAGTTTTAGTTGATTAAATTTTTTATGTTACTCTTATATCTTTATATACGTAAAACATAGCAAGGTTAGAAAGTAATGATTTCGGCTTATTTATTATATTCCCATTATTCAACTATTCAAAAGCACATGAATAAATAATTAAATCCGCTGGTTATGGAACAACATACCTGGTGATAGCCAGCCATGTTCTCGATGCAGCAACAAAATAACATAAAATATGTGACAATGATTTCAATCGGTATCAAGTAGAAGCGGATCGTGTCGATAAAACGTACGGAGCGATTTGAATTTTATCATCTGTCGCGTTATTTGACTAATTTCAGTTTGAAATCTATTAAAGAGCGCAATATTCGAAAACGTTAAAATAGCAAACCAATCACGTTGCAGCAACTTTGTTCTTAATTGCACTTTTCGCGCGTAATATGAAGTGAATATATATTTAGAGAAAAAAAGCACAAAAAACTCAATTAAAAATATATAGCAATTATTCAATACAAAAATAAAATTTGAAATATTTTAGTAAATATCGGAAATAATTGCACATGCATGAAATATTCTAATTGCAAATTGTAGTCAAGGCAGATAATTATAAAATGATGATATGAACGTACATACCTGACAATAATTCTGGCACATTTCATGTTTGCTGCATTTCGTTGAAAAATATGCGAAGAGAAGTCGATGATTCCAGGTAAAAGTAGCTCGTCGATACCAAATCCGATGATTTCCCATTGCGAGCATTTCACGAAACACTTTCGATAATTTTTCGCGTGCGAAATCTACTTCTAGGTTTTCGTTTTACCTCGGCGTGAAATATACAAACAAGATTTCTATCGATTCCGAACGAAAGTAGATCGCCGATCACGACAATCACGATAACGATTGCACGATACTTACATTTTACGACAAACGATTTAAAAAACACTTTCGATAATCTCTCGCGCGCGGAATCCACTTTTAACCGATAATAAGCACGAAAAAACATGAACAATTCAAATAAAATTTTATGATTTGCTGTACCGGAAGTAAAATGGCGAACTTCGCAAGAACTACTGTAAAATAAAATACAAAATAATTCAGCAAATATTAATGTGTTCTATTAGCTAATTACGATAAAAAGTTTAAACAACATAGCTAATTATAGAACAAAAACACATACATACCTGGCAATAATCACGCAATCGCTGCACTTGCCATGGTTTTCGGAGAAAACGAGCCGAAGTAACAAAGGAAATTTTGAACGGTGCTACTAACCACAGAAACAAATTGCCGATATCGAAATAATACCGTCTGTACGCAATACTGAACTCGATACGATTGACGTTCACTGTTTCGCGAAAAATATTAGCGATAATTTTCCACCCGCGAAACTTTTTGACGATAATAATCACAAAAACTACGGAGCAACTCGAATACGATTCCGCGATCTTACTGCGTCACGTTCGGTTAGAGATCTATCTATCGGAAAATAGATATTTTTGAAATAGTCGAAGTAACGAACCAATCGCATCACAGAATGAAGCTCAGTGCAGCCTCAATCCAGACGCCACTCCGGCGCAGAGCGCTCTGCGCAGCACATGTACACGGATTTTCGATTGGTGTGTGTGAGAGGCGTCTGGCATCACTTACGAGCTTGCGCAGTTGCATACTATTCCATACAGAGCGCACCACTAGCGCGGCGCCAATAGCACATTTGAATGCACTGTGATCATGTGGTGATATTTCGGGTTAGAATTGAACCTAACCTCTTTCAAGCCTCTCAAGCACACAATAATTCAATAGGAGAGTTGAAGGCACGCCGTGACGAAAATCACGGCAAGTTTCCCCCACCCGGAGGATAACCAAAAAAGAAAAATCTCAAGCACACACTTTTTTTTAAGTGCAAGAGCCCATGTGCTATATAACTCAATAGGAGAGTTGAAGGCACGCCGTGACGAAATATCACAGCAACTTTCCTTCAACCGGAGGATAACGTCGAAAAAAAAAAATCTTAAGCACACAAGTATTTCAATCGAGATATCCTAAGTAAATTAACATTGTTGCAATATTAAATACATTAATTACGTTCCTTTGCGAAATGGGGCGTATTCAGTATAAAGGAGCACTAAAGAAGAAAGGTAAAATCAACAAGACTAGACCAGCGGAAAAAACACGTAAACAATTGCGTAAAGAAAAGAGACAGCAGAAAAAGATAAATAGAGCAGAATATCATCAAAAGAAAAATTCCAAAAATCAGTCAGAGAAAACAGTCAAAAAATCAGATGGACTATCAAAGACTGATAGCAATAAATTAACTAGAAAAGAAAGAAAAAACGATGAACAGGTGTTATTAACAAAGACGGAGAAAGGACAAAAGCCTGAAAATACGAAGGAAAAAAGAGACGAAAAGAGTGCAAAGAAGCAAAGAAAAAAGAATTTGAAACAAGCCAATATAGAGGAAGATAAAATGATTAAACAGTTAGAAAAAAGATTGAAGTTAAACAAACGAAAGAGCAAATCCATTCCAAAATCTTTTGTATCAGATGGTTTAGATTGTATCCTTTATAATATTTATAAATGCTAAATCTATATATTCTTGTTTTTGAAAGCAAAAATTATGCTTTTATATATTTTTTATATAATTTCCTAGTGCTGATATAAATTTGTAAAAATAATTAATAAATTTATTTCAGATTTAAAACAAGTATAATGTATTATACTATTGCATATATTTATATTAAATCATTTTTCAAAATACATGTCAAATTGATGTTTCCTTAATATTTAATTAGATATTTTGGATTTCTGTGATTCAGAGAATAGAAATCACATAGTTGAGACTGAGAAACAGTTGTTAGAAAATGGAATGAGCACAGATTTTGAAGAAGACTTAAATATGGCTATTGGTGAGGATGATACTGATGAGGAACATGAAAAGCATGACAATGAAGATAGCGTAGATGATAATGAAGAGTCTGAGCAAGATATGGAAAACGAAAGTCTTTTATCAGATGAAAATTCAGATCAGGAGGATAATGAAGATATTTCTTTAGAAGAGTCAAATGAGATAAACGTTGAATCTAAAAATGATTCAACAGATGAAGGAGATGAGTTAGAAAATGAAGGCTCAGGACATGGTGAGAGAGATGCTTCAGAGCAGCCAGATGATGGTGAAGACGTATGGGAGGACATTTATGGTAGGCAGAGAGACAAAAAGGGTAATATTGTATCAAAGAAATATATCCCACCTGCTGTAAGAAATGCGAGTGCAGACATCTCTGTCGACAATGAAAAAGCTCGTAGATTAGAAAGACAATTAAAAGGTATCTTAAACAGATTAGCAGAGCAAAACATGCATACTATTGCAAACCAGGTAATTATCCAATACATATATATTACTCAGTCACATATATAAAGATAAAATGACTAGTTATAAACTACATTTTTGTTAAAACATGTGTCAAATATTGTAAAGAGTAAAAGATTTATTATCTGAATACTTTTAATGTTATAGGTAGAAGAAATGTATATGTCAAACAGTCGTAACGATATGAATGTAATGTTATCCAAACTAATGATGGAAAGTATAATTGCACCAGTATTAACACCAGATCGACTTATCTGTGAACATATGATGTTGGTTGCTATATTACATGCAAATGTTGGTACAGAAGTTGGTGCACATTTTTTGCTGACTATTGTGAAAAAGCTTCACCAAATGTTGGATACATCTCATTGTGTTGAAAATAAGGAATTAGATAATTTAATTCTCATGATTTCACATCTCTACAATTTCAAGGTAAAATATTTTTAGTGATATTTAATTTTAGTGAAACACTTATAATTTAAAATTGTTCTTCTAGGCTTATGGTCATCGTCTTTTATATCAAATATTAGAGAAACTGGCAGCAACATTTACAGAGAAAGAAATTGAACTGATTTTATTGATTTTGAAAACAGTGGGCTTTCAGTTAAGAAAAGATGATCCAATTGCATTAAAAGAACTAATATTAAAGTTGCAACAAAAGGCGAATGACACTACTCTGGAAAAGTAAGTTTTATATTTTTGAATACAAATACAGCTTCGCAATTTGTTCTAAACTTTTTTTTCTTAATTTTGTAATAAATCTATTTTTTAATTATGTTTCTTATGTATTATTATCTCTATAGTTCGAGAGTTAAGTTTATGCTGGACGTGTTATTGGCGATAAAAAATAATAATATGAGCAAAATACCTCAATATGATCCATCACGGATAGAACATTTGAAGAAAATTCTGAAGAACTTTATCCATAAAGGCAACAGTGTTACGCAATTTAATGTGTCTCTAAAAGATTTATTAGAGGGTATGAAAACAACATATATAATATGATAAAAAAAATACAAATGCACTATTTCTTTAATAAATATTAAGATTTTCTTGTGTGTCTTTTTCTGCAGCCGATGAAAGAGGTAAATGGTGGATAATAGGATCAGCCTGGTCTGGTGTCAAGGATAATGATAACTTGGAAAAGACTTCAGAAGACAAAAAACAAAAGTATAGTGAGGAAATATTGGAGTTGGCGCGGAAACAAAGAATGAACACCGATGTCAGAAGAGATATCTTTTGCGTGCTTATGACAGCTGAAGATTATTTAGATGCATTTGAAAAAATTCATCATCTTGGTTTGAAAAATCAACAGCAAAGGGAAATAATTTATGTTATCTTCAATTGTTGCGTTCAAGAGAAAAAGTTCAATCCTTATTATGCCGTATTGGCACAAAAATTGTGCGACTCTGACAGAAAGTATCAGGTATGTGAATATAATTTGATACGTAAAGTATATAATTTTTTAAAATAGATTAATGATTAATGATGATAACGATTAATTGTTACAGTTAACCATACAGTTTGCACTATGGGATAAATTGAAGACATTGAACGATTTGAACACAAAACAGCTAACAAATTTAGCAAAATTTTTGAACCATTTATTTTTAAACAAAGGGCTTCCTCTTTCCGTCTTAAAGGTATATAAATACGTCTTTTTTGTATTTTCCATATTTACAATACGCTGATCATTATATTTAATTTTGATAATTACAGGTAGTACAATTTACTGAATTGGACAACTTAACAATGAGACTCATACGACAAATCATGCTAGGAATATTGTTACACGAGAATGAGGAGGCCTGTTTAGAAGTATTTGGAAGAATATCTTTATCCCCCAAGTTACAAACTTTCAGGGAAAGTCTTAGATTATTTATAAGTCATTTTCTCTTGAAAAACGTCAGTGCTGCTGAAAATCTGCAGGAGCAAAGTGAATTATTGAAAAAACGAGCGGAATGGGTGGATAAAATGTTAAGTACTCGGGAGTCGAAATTAATATTTTAAAGGTATAATATATGGAATATATGTAAAATACATTTTTTTATATCTTTTTGGTTGCTTGTCTTAATATTTATGTTTTTTTATGAAAATATAAATATTGAGACAAGAAAAAATGTATAATATATAAAAATACATATCGATTTAAAGATAAATCTGACTTAAATATTTTTGAAATAATGTCAAGATATTAATTACAAAACACCAACGCTTTTATGGTCACATTATGTTTATTGCACATGTGATATTTATATATGAGTTTTTTATACAAAAGTTTGATGTGTATTATTGTTGATGCATTTTGATGAAATAAGTAAATTATCTTAATTACTTATTACAAATCTCTCAATCTTTTACAGTTAATAAAATAGAAATCATAAAACTAAATATTTTTAGTGTAACAAAATACATACATTTATAGAAATCGATATATTGAGTTGAACTAATTGTAACAATTTAGTTTAAATTTTATCAATATAGATCCATAAATCCAATTATTAATTGTGTGTATCATTTTAAAGCAAATAATAACACATGTCTTACTTTACATAAATGCATTATTATAAAATTGTACGTTTTCTATAAAGTTATTTATCGAGTATCAAATTCTATCAGACAAAACTAAAAATTCTTGCATTGTGATAAGTAATCATACTCCAAATATTTGATAAAGATATACGATAAATCTTTATCACATATTTATAAGTATATTACGATAATTAATGGATTGTTATTAAATTCAAACATGATATTTATACATTATAAGCTGCGAAAGCTTGCATACACAACTTGTATCTAGTCTCATACAAGGCACTTAGCGTACCGGTGCAGCCGTATGCACCCAATCGATGAATACGCAGATAATCGTCACAGTCGATCACTCCGTTTCCAGTGCAGTCCTGCGAAATGTAAAATATAAAATATAACATCAGCAAAGACACGAGTAATTCTAAATAAAAAAATTAATCAATTGATCTTACACTAGAGAATTTGGCCATATAGCGTTGTATCGTACGAGAGGAACACTGGAGATCGTTCGCACATCGACTGTAGGCTAATAAAAGAAAAAAAAAATGATTATATATTACTATTATTATAAAATTACATGTTAAGTATTTAGTTTATCATATTTTATATTTTTTCAGGTCTAAACAGTTCAAGTGTGTGTTCTCAAGAAGAAAAACCGTTTCATCGGATAAATACTTTAGGACTATCGCGTATATTTCTGCAATAAACTTTTATTTAATCAGGAAGGAATGTAAAAAGGGTGCAACTTCAAATCGTAACATTCGAATAGATATCCAAAGCATTCTATGCAAAAAAGAAAGTAGCTCACCACCCTCATTACTGCTCGGCTCGTCGTTTATAGTCAGCCTGCCAGCGTCTGACCAGTAACCCCATGTTATGCCAAACGGTCCGCATACATTACCATAACAGCCGATGGTGTTGTTACATCCCGAAGTAACTTCGCATATACAGCCTAAACAAACATCCGAGAGGAGTTGTGGCTCTTGAGCTGTAACGAAAAATATATGTGCAAACATCATTATGAGAGGTGCATAAAAACTAATTCCAATAATCTTAGCTCTTTTCGTAGCACTGCGTGTGTAGCAGTAGATCATTAAAAGTGGAATACACCAATTAAATTGAATAGGGATATCTAATTTCAGCAACCAACTCTATAATCTTAAAGAATATGAAAACGAGTCTCTCGCTTTTAACGAAACACTGACAATATTTATTTAAATCTGAGAATCTTCACGCAGTGTGTTGGATTTTCAAGATTATACAAATGGTCTATATTTCATTGTAAAATTGTTTACAGGAATGCATCGAACCTTCTCGTTAGGAATTCATGACACACTAAGCTTTTATTGCGATCGTTTAAGACGACACACCTTCAGTGGAGTTACAATAAAAACAGCGAAAATAAGGTGGACCAGTCGTTTGTTAGATTCCTGCGGACCGGCATTTTTGGCGCTGCGATATCACACACTCGGAGCACATACTTGTGATTTGCATTTAATATATGTGCGGACGCGGTTGTTCGCAACGTCACGGTTAAAAATACAACTTAAACCAGCTTGAATATAAACAACGTCGTTCAGACGCCCACCGTAGCAGCTAATACGGTAAGAATCTTTCTGAGGTATTTTTATATTCAGATCGTATCTCGTCTTTGTAGCTCTTATAATGGATTATTCCGCCAGCCGTTTAGAATGGTAATAGAATCTCTCCGGAACTGTCGAATAAATTATAATACGCGGGATTTGCTCGCTTTACTGTCAACAACAGTTTACATTTTAACATGTCTCTCTCGATAGAATTATCTTATCAAGCATTTTAATATTTACAACATGTGTAATCACAATCAAATTTTGGACGTTCAATTTGCATTACAGGATTACACTCCACTACATTTGCTTTGAGAGCATGTACTACGAGCGAGGAAGGATAATCGAATCATCATATTCCGTTTGATTGGATTTACGATGATAGATTGATATGTGTGTGTGTGTGTGTGTGTGTGTGTGTGTGTGTGTGTGTGCTAATACAGAACTTGATTCAGCAAATCAGTATTAACGCTTCGCATTATCTGGACCGGATTGTAATCGGATCATCTTGTAACTCCTACTAGTTAGGTGCGGCTCGAAGCGGATTGTTTAATAGAGTCAGGGTCTTTTTGGGTTTTTTTCCTTCGCAGATTTTGTCGTTCATGCTGTTTCATATTGAATTTTTTTTTGTAATCGACGATCAGTATTCTGCATTTCCAAATTATTTTTAAAACATACGTGATTATTTTTAATGCACTCTTGAATGCACAAAGATTCTTTGAGATCTTCGGTACTTTTAAATAAATATTCTAAATAATTTCTAGTAAAAGTTTTCTTTAAGAGAAAATTTTTATTAGAAAATTATGTAACTCGTGGATTAACTCCTTAATTATTAATTATTGTTAATTAATTACTTCATACTTATGTATTTGTTACTTCATCAATATTTAAAATCTTGTTTATAAGATCTTGTTTCAGTTTTTCATTGACAGACGACATTTAGAACTGCGTTACAGTCTATTGTCGCGCTTAGTGAAGCTATCGAAAGTAAATTAAAGTAATTTATAAGAAAAAAATGGACTTTATATAAAAAAACAGAAACCAAAAGTGGAAACTTGATGATAATCACATTGAAATAATCGAATAACTTTCCTCATCCTAATTTTGCTTTCATCGTAAATATACTGCAATTATCGCATCGCTCCAGATTTTTTTACCACTTCTGATTACCATTTTTTACATTCATTAATGACACGTCATTTATCGTTAAAACGTCAGTTGGAAGGCATTAATTATAACGTCGCAAATCGAATGTAAAATATCTACGTATCTATTTAAATGTAAATATAAGAAGAGCAACTACATGGCAATTATCTCAATCGTCCGATTTTTGTAATAGCGTAACATTTCTGGAATGCAGTGGACAGTGCCATAATTATGTATACGTAACACTTTGTAGCGTTACGCAAACCAACAATTATTTAAAAATATGTACAAGTCACACAAAGGAAATGAGATTGTGAGTAATTTTGCAGTTTTTGATTAGAGATTTCACATACATTTAATTTATTATATATAACTTTTTAAGGAATTAATAGTATTGCTTATAAATCACGGATTACGGATCTCTTACATTAGTATTAATGCGTATGGGAAAGCCTGACCTTAAAGAGATGGAATAAGAGAGCTCTCGAGATTGGTTGATATAACGCGTAAGTCAAGGATGCGGTCACGGACAGGAACTTTTTAAACAACAGCAAGACGCAAGTTGCTATCGGCGATATGCGGATGATTTAATTGTTAAACAATCTTAAAGTTCGCGATGATGGGACTCGATCTTTGGTCTTCAAATTAATCGAAAATTTATTATTTGAATATCAATAATTTAATTCTATATAAATTATATAAAATATTATTTGCGATGTAACTCGGTTTTTAAAGAAATCCGCATCAATAATCGTTTCGAATTATCAATTTCTTAAATAAACTTGAATGAACAAATTCTAAACTTTTAATAATCACAATATATAATTTTTGTAATAATGTTTCTATATCATTTATTATAGCAATAATTTTAAAACATGATTTTTAGACATTTAGAGAAAATTTGCACAAATCATTACAAATCACTTTCCTATCGGAATAAAAAAGACCATTAATAACTCACCATAAGAGCAAACGCAAAGTAGCGCAATTATCGTCCCGACAAGGCACGAAACTTTCACGAACATTTTGAAGATGTGCTGATATCAATCCGCAACGTCTATTGATACACTATGCTTGTGGACTGACACGAGATGATCCGCGGTTTCGAGATTTCCTCGACGATCGCTTTCTTATATACGATGATACCAGCCGCGTGACGGAGGCGAGGACAGATGGCGAGGATACGAAAGTATAGGAAGAGCGGGGAAAGGAACAGTATTTAAGAAACGGCGGCGATTGAAGGACGAGAATTTCGTCGTCATTTAATCGTTGATCGCGACAAGGGAAAAAGAGAAATACAATTTCAAAAATGAAAACTCAATGCAGTCGGCTAGACGATATCCTGTCCTTCGGTAGCGATCTAAGATTATCGCTAATCAATTCGTCGAATAAGATTTTTTATATTAATAGAGGTATGTATCTTAAGTTGAAAGTTTTTTACACACATTATAAAAAGCCAGAGTATTTAAAAAATAAAAAAGTATTTTAAATATTTTTGTAATACGTATTTTTTATCTGAAAATGACTATAATTTTTTTAGATTTTATTATTTATCGCAATTTATTAAATTATCAAAATAATAGATAATCAGTAGTATTTACATGCGCGCATAAAGTTATATAAAAAAATAGTCAAGAAATATAAATTCTTCCATTTTGCATCACGTTTTTACATGCTGCTATAGTTCTTAACATGCTTTCTAATGCGAATGTATTTTTCAAACACATTTTTAATATTTTAACATTTTTTTAAAAACTTCCAAGTTCAGGGATGTTAAAAATGAGGAGAAACAGGTTTTGCATCCTTTGATGATTCCCAACACGTCTTCCAGCGTCAATATTGGCGCCAGCGTATCGATGTATAAAGCTTTCCTACAGAAACAAGGAGACAGAAAAAAAGAAAATTACGGAGGCTTAAAATGACACTTGTATCGTTTTGCATTGGAAAGGGACGCACCGTGGAACATAATCCTACCATCCTTTCGCGAATCCTAATGTCCCTTCTAACAAATAACGAGGCGTGGACATGTTGTTATTTTAAAACCCGCAGGAACGTGAGGACTGCAACAACCGGATCTCAAGTTCAATGTCAATGCCCTAGGCGCGGCGTTGCTCGTCGATGGATTTACGATTGTAACTTCCTTGGGAACGAGTTTATAAAGACGGTAACAGCGCGTGAAGTATACAAGAACGCAAGTGCTATAGGAATATTTTATAATCAACCGAAATTATTCGTTGAAATTTTCGCAGTTTTGTTACTGTTATTTCTTCATTTCGTAATCAAGGAACGAGGAAATTCCGTTTTTCCTAACACTTGTATCATATTACACTTTGCGTGCAGCGACAATTGATCAATGTATCCGTATCGCTCGCTAGATAAAATCTGTGAAATTCCAGTTAAATCATCGTACAAGATATTTAATGTTTGTAAAATTCCATGTTATATTTTTAATTTATTCTCTTGCTATAACTACTTGTTTTTCTGGTATGAAAATGATAACAAATATCGTATTAAAATAATTTTATATTAGAACCAGTGGATTTAGAGTATTTAATTAAAAAAATCATTATAGAAGTAGCAAACGCAGCAGTGAATCATAATATATGGAAATACCGCTTTATGAAATAAAAGCTGAATGCTAGAAAATTTCTCACATAATATATAATGATTGCAGGATATTATATAATATATGCGTGTATAAAAATTCTTAATGCATGCTGTTCGATATCGCCACATATATAAACGTGTATTTCAATGAAACGATTTGATATTTCGAATGAAAAAAAATATGCAACGTAATATTGCTATGTGAATGGTTTTACCCGCGTGATTGCACGCTATCTACAATTATATCCGATACATTAAGAATATAAAAATAGATTCGCCTAGCGAATCTCTCAATGGGCGTCGATTCCGGCAAGCTTGGAAAAATGAGATACGGGGAGGCGATTGTGATATATCTAAGAATCAGTATGCTAAAATCAAGATTGGCAACCATCGCATTATAATTCTGATTCTGTATATTTTCCATCTTACAAAAAATATCTTTGCATATTTCGCTGTATTTCGATAATTGCAATTAAAGCTTTTACATTAGTACCAATAATGTAAATCTTCGAGTTATATATTGCATTCTGTTTATTTTGGCACGAATGACACATTTTGGATATAAACGAGCGAGCCCATAACGTCGGAGCTGAATGAGCATGAAGATTATAGCGAGGTAAACGATTGTTTTCACGCGCTGCGTACGTGCGATACAATATTATGCCCGTTCTAATAACATATGTATAAGGTGATAAAATAAACACTCGCAATGAAGCTTCAGCAGCATTGTGTATTACTCTCGAAGACTCTGCACTAGGAATTCCTCGGGTGTGTTAAGAGAGTAACAAATTATATATATACAAACAATTAATATTTATTAATCCAATATTAAAAGTAATGAGCTGTTTTTTGTTTTTTTAGATCTTGTTGAACGAAGCAATGTCTACCGATTGAACTAGATCCTCGAATTCTTGAATCTGTTCGATCAACAAGTCCACCGACACTTTTTCGTCCTCTATCACGCACATTATTTGTAACTTGTTTATACCGTAGCCAACAGGGACGAGTTTCGCTGAAAATAGAAGATCAATTTACGCAACTTGTTTGTATGTGATAAATATGCGCGTATCAATAAGGCAATAACATGTGCAACTTACATGCACCCCAAACAAGGCCGTCCATCTGGATCGACCTCACGGCATTTTCCATTTCCTTCATGTCCGTTTCATCTCCCCAACTCTTCACGTCGAGCACGACACTCGATTTGGCGATGACCACAGGTTTTTTTGATTTTTTTTCTGCGTACGCTTTTAGCCTTTCCTCCCTGATTTTTGCAGCTTCCGCATCTTCGTCGTCCGAGCCGAACAAATCCAGGTCGTCGTCATCGTCATTTGCCTTTGCTGTGGACGAGGCTGGAGCACTAGCGGTGCTAAAGATGGCAGGAGTTTTCTTTTCTCCGGGAAGTGACTTAAGATCGTACGATTTTATGTGATTGTACCAACGAAGTACATGGGGATTTGATGATGTTGGTGCTTTTCCCAGTGCCTCGAGTACTGCAACATCGGCCTGAGTTGGTTGCCACCTAACGGGTGTAAATTATTCTATATGATACGTTATTTTGTATTAAAGCTGATCCTTATTATCAACTTGAGTACAATTGTTGGAAATTTATGTACACATTTATGTAGCACATTGTGTTAAAAATAAGGAATATTATATATTCTCTAAAATATTGCCAACATTCAGAAAGTTGCTTCAATCTCTTATTGACAGATTATGCAAATTTCATAATTTTTTACTACATTTATCATGAATAATTTAGAAAGCAAATAATAAGAGATAAATATATAAGATTTAAAAAAAAAAACATAAGTATAATTACAAGTTTTTAATATTAAACTCTGATTATAATATTTTAAACTTCTATTTACGCATACTACTTTGCAGTTTACAATTTTTATAACATAAAAACGAATAATGCATATGGAAAATGCAAGAAAGCAACAAATATAAAGTGCATTTTGATTTACATATGTGAAGAATCATAAAATATTTCCTTATCATCACACATATGTCCAGATGCAAGACACATCATCATCACGTACAGGACTGTACAACAATAAGTTTAGTGAAAAACTTACGAGGATAATTCTAGAGAAATCTGGCCAAAGAAGGTAAAAAGAAGATCGGAGACGTAAAAATAAATGTAAGGTGTGTGGCTGTCGCGTATGTGCGTATATGCGTTCGTCCGTGTGTCACATGTCCATACGTGATACTGGAAACGTCGCGATGTGCCACTGCATCAGCGATATTGAGAGCTGTGACTGAGGGGAAGGCCACTAAATACTTACGACGAACGCGATAGTCTAAAGATACGAGGAGTACAGGATATTCAGGACGCGAGAATCGGAATCCGTCAAGATGCCGACAAGCGGAGCACGTGTACCGGAGACGCGAAGGCGCGCAGAAAAACGCGCTAGAAGTAGGCTCACCCCTCGATATAACTGCGGTCGGCGAGGTAGGTGTTGAGATCCTCAACGCCCTTATCGGTCTTCAGGTCACCGACGGCCATGGCGAGAACGTGTTCCGGACGTGTAAAATAGTCGACCGTGAGCTCGACGAGCTGGTTGCGGAGACCCCTTCGTCTGGTCGCCGAAAGAGAGAGCTGCGTGCGGTGCGAGAGCGACGGCCACCGCGATGACTCGATCCGAGTTCATGTAGCGCGACTTGAGTGGCAACGTGACGTCCGTTTTGGTGCATCTTCCTCGATGAAGGCAGTGCGTCCAATCCGGGAAAGTGAAAGGCAAACCGGGGACCAATGCAACAACTGAATTATTAACAACAGCCAATCCTATCACAGGAAAGTACTATCACATTTTACTCACTTTAAGGTCTGTTCACACAGATTTGCAAGCGAAATCATTGATCGAGATTCGACGAGGAGTATATGTGGTGACGCGAAAGCGCCCGAAGTGACTCCGTTCTTCAATCGACCTCGTCATTGCTCATCATGAGCTCAGTGCGGGCCGTTAGGTGTTTCTGACATCTAGAGAAGGTATCTATGCACAGAAATACTTGTGGTAATTTTATTTAGGACGTCTGTATCGTCGTGACGCGAATAAACAAATTGGCGAATTAATTATCACAATATTTGCAATGTAGATATTGTGACAATACGTCCTGACAGACGTCCCTTTTATTTATAATTGTTTTGTGCTAGGTTAATTCGCCATTGACTGTACAGCAAAGTTTGTTTATTACATAATAAAGCGCAACTGACGTTGATAGTTCAGCCTGGCGAGATGTTGAGATTACCGGTCGTGCGGGCCACAGGCCTGGCAAGCGGAAGGCACTGTGCTGTCAGCTTTCATACAACATCCAGCAAGTCACAGCAGGAACTGGTTGAGCTCTTCATTGATGACAAGCCTGTACAGGTACCACCGGGAACAACAGTCTTGCAGGTTTGTATCAATATACTTTTACGTTCTCTTTCGGTCTTCAACTTCTTTCACTGATCTGGTCACAAGAGACACAGTGTGATCTTTGAATCTTGTATGTATATAATATACATTTCAACCTTATGGTAATTTTTATATTGTGTTTCCATGTGTTTTTATTAATGCAAGGAATATTCCTTGTTTTCCTTTTTATGATAATATTACAAAGAAACATTAAAAATTTTATACAAGTTCTAACTTTAGATTGTGAATAATAAAAGATGATTCTTATAGATGGTATTCTGCTCTTAGTAATTTAAAATATATTATAATAATATTTATGTAAGAAACTTTCTCTTTTAGGCTGCTGCTAAAGTAGGAGTTGAAATACCAAGATTTTGTTATCATGAGCGTCTTGCTGTAGCTGGAAATTGCAGGATGTGTCTTGTTGAAATAGAGAAGCAAGTCAAGGTATGCAATATAATAGGACGGAGAAAAGAGTAAAAATGCTGAAACTAATTAATTATATTTGTTTTAAATTTTAATTTACAGCCGATTGCTGCATGTGCTATGCCAGTGATGAAAGGTTGGAGGGTAAAAACCAATTCTGATCTGACACGGAAGGCTCGCGAAGGTGTTATGGAATTTTTGTTAGTTAACCATCCACTGGATTGTCCAATCTGTGATCAGGGTGGAGAGTGCGATTTACAAGATCAGAGCATGGCTTTTGGAAGCGACAGGAGTAGATTCGTCGATATTAATTTCTCCGGAAAACGAGCTGTGGAGGACAAAGATATGGGGCCCTTAATCAAGACAGTTATGACACGTTGTATACATTGCACAAGGTGCATCCGTTTCGCTTCGGAAGTAGCTGGCATTGATGATTTGGGGACAACGGGTCGTGGTAATGACATGCAGGTATGTGTTTAACATTTAAATATATATTTGTACATATTAAAGCTTATCTTATAATTATATCTTGGCAGAAGATAATAATTTCCACGTAATGTTATTATTATTATTTTAAAATTATGTGGAATTATCTTAAAATATTTACAAATTGCTCATATTATATAAAACTAAAAATTGTTTTATACACAATAATAATATTAATTTTGTCAACAATATAGAAATTATTCTATATGTAACAATTGTCTGTATAATAATGTTAAAGGTCGGAACATATGTCGAAAAGATGTTTTTGTCAGAATTGTCCGGCAATATCATCGACCTTTGTCCTGTGGGCGCACTGACTAGTAAACCATATGCGTTTGTTGCTCGCCCGTGGGAGACACGTCGTACCGACAGTATTGACGTTCATGACGCTGTTGGCAGCAACATAGTTATTTCTCACAGAACCGGAGAAGTTCTAAGAGTACTACCACGAGTGAATGAGGTATATTTAATATATTTGCAACAAATAATGTAAAAGAATAATTTTCCAATATTAATAATAATTAATGATTCAATTTATAGGAGGTAAATGAAGAGTGGCTCTCGGATAAAGCTCGTTTTTCATACGACGGACTCAGGAGGCAAAGACTCATCACGCCAATGATGAAAGTTAATGGCAAGTTGGAAGCTGTAGACTGGGAAGATGCACTTATTGCCGGTAGGATTGATTATCTGTTACATCAACTCGCGTTCTATTATGCTTCAAAATGTTTGTAATCGAACAGTGTATAACAGCCTTTATGATGATTAGCTGCTAGACCTCTGACGGATGTGCCAGCGGACAAATGCGCTGCAATCGTCGGGAAATTGGCAGATGCCGAGGCTCTTATCGCTCTGAAAGATTTAGTGAACAAATTGGGCAGTGAAGGATTAGCCACCGAGCAATGCTTCCCGAAAGACGGCTCGGGCATTGATCTCAGAAGTAGCTATCTTTTGAACAACACGATCGCTGCGATCGAAGACGCGGATGTCGTAGTATTAATCGGTACAAATCCAAGATACGAAGCGCCATTAGTAAACACGCGTCTCAGGAAGGGCTACCTACACGGCGAACAGACAGTCGCTCTTATCGGCCCGGACGTAGACCTCACGTATGAGCACGAGGTATCGCCAATTTTGATCTATTTTGCATTATGTTTGTTTCGTAGCGGTACAATATTACTTTACAAAACGTAACTTTTTTGTAGCACTTGGGAGAATCCTTCGACGTGATAACAAAATTACGAAATGGGTCACATCCGTTCAGCGCAACTTTGAAAGAGGCTAAGAAACCACTCGTTATCTTGGGGGCTGATCAGCTGACTCGAAAAGACGGGGCTAAGATACTCTACGAAACGCAGGAATTGGCGAAGGCTTTAGGAGATGACACAAAAGTGAATTATTTCTAACTTTTCTTTCATCTTTTGTAATTTTGATTTCAGAAATTAGTAATGACTACTTATTTTGCCTTTAGGCTTCCCAGGATTGGAAGATCTTAAACATACTGCATACGAACGCTTCTCAAGTTGCCGCTTTGGATCTCGGGTATAGCTCGACTGTGGAAGAAATCAAACAACAACAACCAAAAGTTCTGTTCCTTTTGGGCGCAGACGATGCAAACATTAAGAAGGAAGATTTTCCGAATACGTTTATCATTTATATTGGTATGCACATGATAATAATGTGTAGAAAGCGCGGTTTCAATATTCAAAACCGCATAGTATTTACATTTTACTTATTTCTCAATATTAATCGATTTATTATGAATTATATTCGTAAAACATGTATCTTTGTCATTCTAGGAAGTCACGGTGATGCCGGAGCGGCTGTTGCAGACGTTGTCCTGGCTGGAGCAGCGTACACTGAGAAAGTTGCGAGTTATGTCAATACAGAAGGCCGGTCGCAACAAACATGCGCAGCTATTACACCACCTGGCTTGGCGCGTCCGGATTGGAAAATTATTCGCGCCCTTTCTGAGGTAAAGAAATCACGTAACAAAATTTTGCGTAAATATAACTTTAGATAAATAATCAATGCATAATCTTTTGTTAAATCTTCATAGATGGCCGGTGTTACTCTACCCTACGACAATCTAAACGACGTGAGATCCAGACTTGAAGAAGTCGCGCCTCACTTGGTGCGATATGGTGATGTCGAATCGGCTAATTTCTTTGCGCAAGCGTTGGAAATAGCCAAGGTTTGTATCGTAATTTGATGCAAGAAATCTTTCAGATATGAGAGTATTATTTATACGCATTGTTTGTTACGTGCGTACAGCAACAGTCTGGAGGATCGTTTTTACCGGAACCTGTGGACATCAAACACAAGACGTTGGATCAGTTCTTCATGACCGATGTAGTATCACGAGCATCTTTAACCATGGCAAAGTGCGTGCAAGCAGTCATGAAACAGCGTCAAAGTGCGGTATAAAACATCTGATGTTAGATTATTAGATCGATTATTGTTGGAAAATTCTCATCTACTAGTTCTTTGATATTACTGACTAGATATTACGACATCTCGCAGTCAGTGGCAAAAGAATTACAGAAACGTTAAAAAAATATTAACGTGTAATTGATAGAACTCTATTAAACTGTACTGAAAATGGGATGCGATTTACAACGTTGAACCCATCAGTCCCATTAATTGTATATTCGTAAATACATAGTAGAATAATAAGTTATTTAAAATAAATATATAAATTTATTTTTGTTGGGAAATTTTCTACAAATATCATTCGTAAAGTGCATGGATTAAATTATTGAACATATTAGGAATGTTTGGCGGCGGTTTCTTCAATTCTAACATATGACACTTCTTTACAATAATTAATTACATTATTTTGCGCAAACTCACTGAGCACCTATACATTAGAACATATAACTGCACAGTATAAAAAAAAGTTCTTTCATTGAATGTCAGAAGTTTGTACAGCTTATTAGTTCGTGAAAATTTGAAACGATCAAAACCAATATCAATTTACAATTTTTGTGCATATTATTTGTATACATATTTGCAAGTGTGTATACATTTGTAAATACATTTCATATTTTTTACACTGTTTATAACACACAAAACAAATCTTATAAAAGTTTTCTAACAGCTGAATTCTGTTATTAATTTGTCTGACGAAACATTAATTAGCACATCTCAATTACTTGATTCTGGTTGATCATCCGTGTCAAGTTCACCTGAACTCTCATCCGATTCGACCTAAAAGAAGTCACATTTTATTTTTCACGTATTATACGAACAGCTTTACAAAACTTACCTTATCTCCTAATTCAATTAATCTTTCTTTATACAACATAATTTTACTATCTTGATCCGTCAAGAGTTCCAAAAGATCCTCCTGATCCTTTTTCAATTTTTCAAACTCTTCTATTTTCAATTTCAATTGATACTCGAAATCTGACTCCTTCTCGCTGTTCTTCTCTTTGCGCTCCTGTGCTATCTGCGAATATTCCGCTAAACGATTTTCTAAATCTGCAACCATCGTTTTGTATGTTTGTAATTCTTTTTCCAAATCTAGATTATTACTATTAGTAATGGTCTCCTTTTCATCCTGTATATTCGTTTGCGTAGCTCGAAGAACTAAATTTTGATCTCGTAAATGGCTGACGGTTGATCGAAGTTCTTGCACTTGTACCTGCAATGTTAGAAATTGATTTGACAAATATATTTTAGAAATTTATTCTTACAGAGAAATATTTCATACCTCAAGTTCTTGTTTTTCCTTTGCAAGGGAATCGTTAGCCTGATTTAACTTTTGAATTTGCATATCCTGTTCTCTGATAAGATCCTTGTATTGTGAAACTAGCGTATTATCAGATAAACTCATCATAGATAACTGATTCCTATTCAGATGTTCATTATTAGCATCTATCACCGATTTTATTACAACACCTGAAAAAGAGAAAAATCTTACATGCATCTCTAAAAGAAACTCATAAAAAATCAATTGTTTCTGTTACTGTAAAGATATTAATTTTTTTTAACATGATATTTATACACATGCATCATAAATGTATAAAAATACCTTCTAAACTTTTTAGCAGTCTGCAAAATTCGTGATCTAACAAAAGTTCCAACGGGTTTTTCGCCGAAGGCTGCGGATGTTTCAGCGTCCGAGAATATATCTCGTGCCTAGCGATACTACCGATGGCGTCTTGAAATCTTTCCAAACCTATTCTATTCTCGATTAAATTGCACACTTTTTCCTGCAAAATGATGAAGAAAATGTTATTACAACTCTCTGCTTCTTTATATTTCAGAAATATAGACATCAGTAAGACTTACCTTTGTATAAGTAGGCACACTATCGTCGTTGAAGTGTACGCAAATAGCGATAAGAAAGGCGCACATGCTTTGCAATAGGATTTCCTGTAAATCTTCGTTGTTCTCTTGCGACGACAGGAGAGCCATTAAATACGCTACCGAAGAGTCCATAGCTAGAAACGATTTTACCGCGAGCGGACAGTACGAGGTCCACCGACAGAGTAGAATCAACAGACCCAGTTTGCACTGCGTTTTGTTACCCTGCTGCAGCAGCATAACGCACTGTTGCAGAAGCGTCACCGGCGGCTTCCCGATATTGGTTGCGAGAAGTACTCTTAGAAGTTGCTCCTTCTGACTTATGTTCTCGATCAAAGCGTGAGATAACGCCACGGCGGAGAACCAGTTCGATAGAGAATCTGTAGAGAACAATCCGCCACACAGCAACTGTCCTAGCAACAAATATGTATGAGATCAAAATCATTTTTCTCACTTCGAAGATTAAAATAAAATCGAAATCGAAAGATGTTTAAAGGAACTTAATAAACCTGTAGTTAGCGACGGTGCCTCGTTGGCTTGCGGTAGTAAAGTTTGGATCAACTGCATCTGTCCCACTTCGTTTTTATACAAGAAGCATTGGAAGCAATATAATACTGAACATCGCAAAACGAATGGTTGTTTCTCGTTCACCATGGACATCAATAAAACAACAATGGCAGGCCTATGACACATTCATTTGTAAATTGCTTTTAATAATTCTGTTCTGACATAAAATTACCAACACCAACAATTAAGTTATACCTTGGAGGAGTGCTCGGTGCCATAACACTTGCTAAAAACTCTTGATTACTAGCATTCCCTCTTATCACTTCCGCCACAGTGTTAATAGTCTCTGTTAATACATCCGCGGGCACTCCACTAGCCATTAGTATGTCACACAACGCTTGTAATAATCCGCATGCTCTCATAGTTCGTTGACAAGCCGCAACTGCCTTCACATGTGCAATTGTTCGCTTATTATCGAGAGAAAATGATGCATAATATTGCACATATTATCTTTACCTGAGCAGGAGCACTCGGTGCTACTAGTGCTCGTACAACTTGCACCATGCAGTGAACATTGGATACTTTCTGTGGACTCCATCCACCAAAATTGTCCTCTATTTCGTTTGGTATTTGAAACATTGGCGTCAGTTTCTGGATATAACTGCCTACAAATTATAATATTAAAAATTAATACACAGGCGAAATGATGAAAACTATTAAAAAGCTGGTTTCAAAAGTATTACCTTCCTTAAAAAAGTTTTGATTGCTAACGTTTCCTCTGAGAAGATTTAACATCAATAATAGACAATCTTCCACAACAATACCACCATCTGCATTACCCTCTTGTTGAATAACATCAAATATACGATCAAATGCATTTTCGAATGCAACTATTTTTTGTATATTTGCATTGCCTTTCGTTAATTGAATGAGTAGCAACAGAACCTAAACGTAATAAATATGAATGATGTATTAAAAGCAACACAAATCTCTATTTCAACTCTACTTGCTTGAAAATAATAAATTTAACATACGTCATTGCGTATAACTTCTCTGCTGTCGCTCAGCAAATCCATCAATTTGGAGACCCCCATAGGACTGACCAAAATGATTTCTTGAATGTCTTTAGATCTGTTTGTCAATAAATGTGTCAATAGTTTCAATGCTGGCCATCTGACACGAAAATCAAACTCCTCCAAAAATGTCAAGACCAATCCAACGCTATCTGGATGCTTGATAAATATCTCTGTGAATTGTTCTCCTATTTTATTCTTAGGACCGTGTTTATCCACTGAAACAATGCAGAGCAATTAGATTTAAAATCAATAAATCCATAAATTATAATCTTACCTTCTTCATCGAATGTTTCAGGATTTGTTATATTGCATAGAGTGTCCAAGGCTAAACCGATTATCTCACAATCTGTCCGGTCCATTTCCAACACCTGTCTCAACGCGTCCATTCCTTGAGCACCCACCTCCACACGGTACGTGCGGGATAATGCTTTGAGTGCACGACATGCATCTCTTCTGTCATCGAGTAGAGTGGAAGATTGTAGTCTATCCACCAATCTTTCCACCTGTATAAAAAAAACATAAATATTGTAAGAATTACATCACACATCTATTTATAAATTAATTTGCTATAACAATAAAAAGTCTTATCAATTAACGACAATAATAATTGAAAATATGACATTTATCCAAAACATAAAAGTAACCTCTTGTGTATAAAAAATGTTATTGAACTAGCATTCCACTCACTGTATCGGCGCCTGTGGGCTGTGTGCCCGCGGGTGCGGTTCCTAAAACGGATTTCAAACTACTTTTAAAATACTCCATATTTTCGACAAACGTCTGTCAATGCAAACACTACACGTCACACGTCGACATTTCAAATCCCAAAATGTTCAAGACGGAGCTGCCAGTTTTCCCCGGAGAGCTTCGTACGCACACAACCGAGACCCGCCGACGTCACATGTTCGTGTACGCTCGGCTTTCGATTTGTCAAAGCGAGCGGATGTATGTTTTGCGTCTCCTTTCCACCAAGCCTAAAGGTGCCGTCACATACAGCCCGTAATCCGTAATCCGCACCGGAAGTCCATTAAAGTTACTAGGTATTTCGTCCGTAATGTTACGTGTGTTTTTATCTCCTTGTGTCCCATGGAGTCGTAATTCCATGAAATTTCCGTAAAAGTTACTACAAGTTATTAGTTATTACTAGTAATGCTTTTTCTAATTTTATTTATTTAACTAAATTTGACGATTTAGTTAAAACTTTTGTTAAAATCATAATATATTCTGTAGTTTTCTTATGAATAAAATACAAATAAACAATTATAATCTGTTAAATAAAAAATAGTACTACCGTTACGTCTGTATTTACGGCTCCATGGGACACAAGGAGATAAAAACACACGTAACGTTACGGACGAAATACCTAGTAACTTTTGCGGACTTCCGGTGCGGATTACGGATTATGGGCTGTATGTGACGGCACCCTAACACTGGTTTTATGAGGCGACTTTGTGCGCGTTATAATTTAAAAAATTTTTGGAAAGTTTTTTATTGCAAAATTCAAAATATCAATTGTTAAAGAAATTTAAAAAACACGTATTTTTTTAGAACGTTTTTAGGACATTCTAAAGATGTCTTATTTAGAACGTTTTGAGGACGTTTTTAGACGTCCTTATATTTATTATTTTTAGTATGTGATAGAGTTATCAATGTAGAAAGGCGAAAAATTTAAACATTATGCCGCTATATTCAAATCTTGCTAGGGGTCTTTGCTAATCTTTACAAATCCTTTTTTAGTATACAGAATGTCCGCAAAGATTGAAGCTAAATTTATACAATGTATTAATGAGATGGAGTAGATAAAAAAAATTCTTATAAACTTATATTCAAAAATACTTTATTAAAAAATTATAAACATTCGAAGACTTATAAGCAGAATTATTCTCTATAACTATTCTCTATATCAGATCGCTGACTCCATATGTCATTGCATAATCTTGTAGCTGGCGATGATTGATCAAGGCATTTTCAAAACACTAATTATAAACTAATTATAAATTTTTTTGCAATGGCAACTTCTTGAGTTATGAGTTCTCAAAGTTTAAGTACCGCTGATATTAGTATTACTCAAGATGTACTTAAACCTTGATTGCAATAAATTTTGCACGGATTGGACGAGCAACTCGACTTACTATGTCCAGTGTAAATTGAAGATCTTTTAAATAATCAATAGGTTCAAATAAAAGTTATGTATCAAAGAAGCCATTATGATCTTCAACTCCATCATGGCGATTGTATAAAATCATTGCTGTATTAAGTTGGAAGGCTGGCCTTTTTTCCACTATTTTTGGTCCAACTTTTAATGCGAATATTAAATATGTGGCAACAATGCACAATAACAACGACGATTTTGAATATTTTCAGGTAAAAATCTGTCAGGATCAAAAACTTCTGGATTTGGCCAGAAATCCTGATTTCTGAATATTACCTATACAATTTCGTGATTCTGCACTAAACGGTAAATAGGAAAACGTATGACGATTTTGAATATTTTCAGGTAAAAATCTGTCAGGATCAAAAACACCTGGATTTGGCCAGAAATCCTGATTTCTTGAATATTACCTATACAATTTCGTGATCCTGCACTAAACGGTAAATAGAAAACGTATGACGATTTTGAGTATTTTCAGGTAAAAATCTGTCAGGATCAAAAACATCTGGATTTGGCCAGAAATTCTGATTTTTGAATCAGATTCTCGAGATTAACGCCTCCTTTTTTCTAACATTGAATTGAATTTAAAAATTGTTTGGTCAATGAAAGTATTTTACAAATGTTCGTAAGAATTAGACGAATTATATTTCGTTTTCCGACACAGATCCGATGGTAGACACGTGGCTTTTAAGAGATCTCCAGGCCCTATATTGTGCATTGTTGCCACATATTTAATATTCACAATAAAAACTGGACCAAAAATAGTGGAAAAAAAATCAGCTTTCAAACTTAATACAGCAATGATTTTATACAATCGCCATGATGGAGTTGAAGATCATAATGGCTTCTTTGATACATAACTTTTATTTGGAACCTATTGATTATTTAAAAGATCTTCAATTCACACTGGACATAGTAAATCGAGTTGCTCGTCCAATCCGTGCAAAATTCATTGCAATCAAGGTTTAAGTACATCTTGAGTGATACTAATGTCAGCGGTACTTAAACTTTGAAAACTCATAACTTAAGAAGTTACTATCACAAAAAAGTTTGTAACCAGTGTTTTGAAAACGCCATGATCTCAACTGTGAATCATTTTAATAGGAATAAGTATTATTGTTCCAGAAGGCGCAATATATGATTCTGAAAATGTCACAAAGCACAATTTATTAGGATAATTAAAAATTATTCAAATTGTAACAATGAATATTTTTATATAAATTATTTCATTTAAGTAAAAGATTTTTCATACAATAACTTACTATTTTCTTGAAATATTTTTGTTGGAAAAAAATTAATATTAAATTATGAACTAGTCAGTTTATCAATATAATATCAATCAATATAACATTTTTTTGTAGTTTTGTAAAAATATATATAAAACATATTTTTTATTAATTACTCACGTAATTTTATATCTTTGCACGGGACTCGAACTATATAAGGAGTGCTAGGATACAATCTCAACGATTCCTTCAAACATCTTTACAAATATGACATACTATTTAATGCTGTTGTAATAAGTTTTCCATTGTTCTCTTGCATGACTGCATTAATTTCACTTCTGACACGATCCTACATTATTAAACAAATTTTCACACGTTTTATTTGATTTGTATTTGTGTCACTTTTAATTGAATTATCTATGCGACGCACACAGAATACAAAACATATATATCCTTTCATATTTATATACATAACAATTTTATTTAATTATAAATTTAAACAGATTACTTAATATCTTTTTTGATTTATTACAGTAATTTTAACTATTTGATCTAATATTATCAAAAAACACAAACAATATTAAATTTAACTAATTATATATTTAATTAATATAATCAATGAAGTATTTACTATGTGTTTGAAAATCAATATAATTATGATATATCTGAATATTCTTATACTCAGCTAATAGCAATATCGTGAAGCATATAAATATTGTCGTTGTATCGTGACCCTGTAATGGGAAAAATATATTTTATTCATTCCTTTGCGTTATACATAGACTACATATGAAGAGAAAAGTGGAATCCTTTTTTAAATTCATGTATAAATTAAAAAAAATCTGAACAGGTTTTACTGAATAATTTAAAAGTGCAAATGTTTAAATTAAAATTGAAAAAAACTATGAAAAACAGTGTACATGTTGCTGTACACAATTAGAACAACTTTAATTTTAGAACTAATTTTCTAACAATTAATAATATCGGATTTGATCCACTTTTCCTCTGAATTCCTCGTGTATGTATAAAAAGACTTTGCAGAAATAAAAAGCAAGTTAAAATATTTTTAATATTGTCAAATTTGTAAAGTTTTCTTTTATATAATTTTTGAACACTTTGTATCCGTATAAAACAGAACTTGAATATATTAAAAATTAACAATTGTATTTCAATTTTATTAACGACTATTAATCAGAAAAATATTATTGTTGTTTATTGTATTACATTAAAGTAAGAATAATTATTTTATGGAATAGCTCATATAAATGAGCACTTTTATATGAAGCAATTTGATTTTACATAATGTATTTTGAACTCTTTACAAATTTTTTTGCAAATATATTTGATATGGTATTATTTAATAAATATAAATAATTTCAGATATCTACCGCAAACATGAAGTATCAACTTCTTCTCTAATATCTAAATCACTCATCTTGTTATTGTCAGACATTGCTATCAGAAGATCCAACACAGCTAGCCGCTTTTTTCGTACTGAAAAGGATATAAATATTTTGTATTTAATGTATGATAATGTATGACAAGTACGTTTATGAGAATCACCCTGCATGTATTTCTCATTATTATATTAGAGTTTTATAAATGTTAAATAACATAATTCGATATTTACAGTTTGTATTTGGAATTGTACGTTTACCGTCTAATACAAAAGAGAGTTGTTCAAAAAATAATTAACTTTATTTAATATTTTCTTAGACATATTTTTGTAGAAACAATTACACTTGTAGCAAAATGACACATGAATTACACTCCCTTTTTGCGGATTTTTTTATATTATTTATCTATAATTTTTTATATGATTGTAGACAATATTAAACATTCCGACAGAACATGTTTGAAAAAGATTTATATACACATTTTTTATCCTTGGTTGGGACCTGGCCTATTCACTAGTGAAGGTAACGTAATAGATCTAACATAATTCTCATTTCTAATATGTACGATATTTCGAATTGGAAATATATAAAAATTATACTTTTTAATTTTTATAAATGTCTACAAATACTCAGACTCGATTGTCCTGATATTGTCCTTTCACGTATGTTCAGTCTATAGTTTATCCTGAGTAATGTTAATAAACAAAATAAGTTTCAAGAATTACACGTAATTTTCGAATGCCATAAGGATTTTCACATATTTATCAATAAGAGGTACAGAATTTACAGTTCTTTGTTAGTAAAATTATTTATCCTCATGTATAGATTTCAATAAACTTAATTTATAAGGCAGGTAATTTATAAGGCATTACGACAAATACAATATTATTATTTAGTTATTAATTGTTTTTTTATATATATACCCAGTAAACATAAGCTAACAGTAATATAACGTCAATGTTATAATTTCTCACTCAACAATGTAACTGC